TTGCTTTTCCCACAAAGTCATAGCTGGAATTACACAGTATGCAGCTTTTTCAGATTGGCTTCTCTTACTTAGTAATATGCTTTTAAGTTTCCTCTCTGCCTTTTCATGACTTGAGAGCTCATTTCTTTTAAGTGTTGAATAGTCTATCATTGTCTAGATGTCCTACAGTTTATCCATGTGCCTACCAAAGGACATTTTGGTTGCTCCTGAGTTTTGGCAATTATGAATAAAGCTGCTATACCCATCTATATGCAAGTTTTTGTGTAGATAGAAGCTTTCAACTGCTTTGGGTAAATATCATGGAGGGTCATTTCTGGATTATACAATAAGAGGATGTTTAGTTTTGTAAGAAACTGCCAAACTGTTTATTAAATGGCTGTATCAGATGATGTCTTTTTAATATTCTGTAGGATAAAATGGAAAGTGTGCATAAAGCATTTTTGCTGCATGCTGAACTACTATGGTAGCTGTCTCTGGGAAAAAAAAATGCCTGCATTGTTGTTTGATTTGCAAGCTGAACCAGCCACTTTTTAAATGGGATACCATTTTTGGATATGCAAACCTCAGTTCTGAAATGGATATTTGACAGACACTCTTCACACGAGTGAAAGAGAGGGGCCTGTCACTTCAAGAAAAACAACTGACAGTATTTTTTTTTTTACCAGTGATAATATTTGAATTTTTAGGTGAAAACTAGAATTTTGAAAAATCTGTATTTACCACAGTGATCTTAACAGCTTCCCAATGTTTAAAGGCTTTTCTCAGAAGATTGGGGGTCATACTAACAACTGTGACTTTTGGGTAATGAATAATGAAATGTGTTCATATTTGGAAGATCTGTGTAATTCAGTGAACTAATATTTTTCAAATGACTAGTGCATGATGTTTCAAAATCATGCACTGGTAAAAGATGCACTCAATGGATTTTAATGTTAGTAGAATACAAAAGATTCACTGGCAGTCTCAGATCCCACACTGCTACTATTCTTTAAGAAATTAAGACATATCAAGGGGTTCCTGAGTAGCACTGCTGGTTAAGCCTCGGACTCTTGGTTTCTGCTCAGGTCATGATCTCAGGGTCATGAGATTGAGCCCTGCATTGGGCTCTGCACTCTTTGCAGAGTCTGCTTAAGATTCTCTTTCTCTCTCCCCCTGTCTCTCCCCACACCCCCCTCTCTCTCAAATACATAAATAAATCATAAAAAAAAGAAACTAAAACATACTGAGTTTTGGTATAGTCTCAAAGAATAGCCACAAGTATCTGAAAAGCTGATTAAAATATTCTCCTTTTTCCAATTACCTGTCCATGTGAGGTTGAGTTTTCTTCATACGGCTTTAACCAAAAACAACCCATCATGAGTGATTCAGTGCAGAAGGTACACTTGATTCTTATTATGCAAGGTAGTTTTGTTCTCTCAAGTTGCCTTAAGTACTGAATACTGAGCCACTGCCCTTAGGGAGAAATACAGGGTTAGGTTCCTGCAAGCCTCTGGCCACAACATTTTTTTACAAGCAATCATTCACCAATCAATACTTTACTCTGTTTTATGTGTGTTTCTGTTTAAAGATACCTTATTTAATAAATTATTAAATATATTATTATTTATTATATTTAATATATACTGTTGGCTTGTTAACATTGAATTCACAAACAGCAGCAGTGTAATTATTGCCTTAGTGAAGCTCATCTAGCACATGAATTTTCTCAGTGAGGCACATGGCAGCCTTCTTATGCCAACCAACCTTAGCAGTACTCAGCGCTATGCCTGAGGCCATTTTAAACATCAAAAGAGCACAGAGATGTGAAGAGCACACACATGTGAAAAATATGGCACTAAATAGACCAGGAAAATGACATCTTTTATAGCATGGTATCTGAAACAGGAAGGCAGAGCACAGCCTTGTTCAGCGTCAGCTGGGAAAGTGCATGCCAGCTAGTTCAGATTTCATATCACTCAGCATGTCTGCTAATGGCCACAAAGTGCCAAAGGTATTGATTTTAGAGTCATACATAAGTTTAGGTTGAGTGGGTGAACTTGTAAATATGGAATCCTCACATAATAAGGATTGACTGTATAAGAACCCCGATTTCTTTCTATTAAGTGAGACACAAAAGCAATTTGCAAAAAGCGTAAAACGTTGCTTTTCTCATATCTTTTCTTTTGGAAAATATAGTTATTTTTCATAGAACATGCTATTTATATTAACATATAATGAGCTTATTTTTAGGTTACGATGAGTAAATAAATATATTTTTTTATTTTTAAGATTTTATTTAGTTATTCATGAGAGACACACACACACACAGAGAGAGGCAGAGACACAGGCAGAGGGAGAAGCAGGCTCCATGCAGGGAGCCCGATGTGGGACTTGAACCTGGGTCTCCAGGATCACACCCTGGGTCAAAGGCAGGCGCCAAACCGCTGAGCCACCCAGGGATCCCGAGTAAGTAAATATTTTAAAAGCTTTCCCAGTCTTAACTTCTAACACAGTAAATAAAGATGATAAGTATAATCCACAGATGAAAACTTTTCAGTGTCCCATGATCTTTTAAATAAACAGACACAATGTCTTTGAACAGTTTTGGATTTACAGAAAAATTGAAAAGATAGTACAGAGACTTCCCATATCCACTGCCCACCCCCTCCCCCCTGCCATAATTTCCCTTGTCTTCCATCATATGATATGTTTGTTTCAGTTAAGGAGCCAATATTGATAGATTATTACTAAAGACCACAGTCTATGGATATGTCCTCAGTTTTTTCCCTAATACCCTTTTTCTGTTCTGGGATTCCCTGTGGGATCTTACATTACATGAGGCTACTCTTTGCTGTGATAGTTTCTCAGACTTTCCTTGTGTTTGATGGCTTGACAGTTTTGAGGAGTCCAGTATATTGTAGGATACCTCTCTATTGGAATTTGATTTTTTAAAATAATGATTAGGGTACTTGGGTGGCCCAGTGGTTAAGCATTCAGCTCAGCTCGTGATTGCAGGGTCCTGGGATGGAGTCTTGCATCAGGTTCCCTGTGGGGAGCCTGTTTCTCCCTCTGCCTCTCTCTCTATGTCTCTCATGCATGAATGGATGAGTGAATGAATGGATGAATAAATAAATAAATAAATAATTATGATTAGGCTGGGGTTTTGGAGGATCTACTCTAATTGTTAAAAGTGTAAAGGGGGGGGGGCACCTGAAGACACTTGGTTAAATGAACAACTCTTGATTTTGGCTCAGGTCATGATCTCAGGGTTGTGAGATGTAGCCCCAAGCTGGGCTCCACACTGAGCATGGAGCCTGCTTAAGATTCTTTCTCCCACACACACTCTGTCTCTCAAAAAAAACAAAACAAAACAAAACAAAACAAAACTAAAGGGATTCTGAGACCCAATCAGAACTGCTTCGATTTACTTATTATTTACTAATTTTGTGTAAAAGAGCAAAGGAGTGCTCTGTCTTCTTTCCTGCTCAATCCCCAGCTTCTAGACAGCCCAGCTCACTGTGAACACACAATCAATATTTGTGGAGTGAATAACTAAGAGCCAGGAGCTCTAGGCTCAGGCTCAGAGACAGGTGCAGAATCTTCACACACAGCCAGTGACAGAAAAAAGGGAATGGGGACGTTTCAGGGAGGAGTTACAGGTGTGGCCCAGGAGACCTGACATCTAGGGCAGGGGCTCAACCTTAGCCACACACTGAAATCACTCAGGGAGCATGAAACTTGATGCTGATACTTGAGCCCCACACCCAGGGACACTGATGTGATTGGTTTAGGATGTCACTGGGCATCAGAACTTTTAAAAGTTCCCCTGGTGGATTGATTCTAAGGTTCAGCTAAGTTTGAGAACCACCTATCTGGGGGCCGGTGCTGTCCAGGAGGAGAGTTCAGGCAGTAGGGCAAAGATTTGAACTGAGATGGCTGCTGCCTGCCTGTGTGATGTTGGGCAAGTTACTGAACCTCTCTGAGCGCCTGTTCCCTCATCAAATGGGGGTAGTGGTATCTACTTCAAAGGGGTGTGTAGGGCAGCCCCGATGGCCCAGAGGTTTGGCCTTGCCTTCAGCCCAGGGTATGATCCTGGAGACCCAGGATCGAGTTCCACGTAGGGCCTGCATGGAGCCTGCTTCTCCCTCTGCCTGTGTCTCTGCCTCTCTCTCTCTCTCTCTTTCTCTCCGCATCTCTATGAATAAATAAATAAAATCTTAAAAAACAAAAACAAAGGAGCATGCAGATGAACTCTTAGAGCAAATGAGCCTGCCTAGCCTAGGAAATTGCCATCAACACTTGTTCCATGACAACAATACTGGTAACAAACATACACTGATTTTTATGACCCGAGGGAAATGACAGCTTTCTGGGGAGGCGGGGGAGGTTGGAAGCGACCAGATAGATCCGTGCCGTCAGAGAAGCAGCGCAGGATCAACGCTGACAGGTGTACTCTAAAGACAGCAAAGAATAATATTAATTACAACAGTAGAGGAATCATTCGTCTCCCATCTGTACGAGGCTTCACGCGGGGCGGACAGTATTTCCTTTGCAGCTTTAATTTTCCGTGGGGTCGGCCGAGTCATCTCCGCGGTTTAAATAAGGCCAAGCTCTGAGAGGGAGAGGGACTGGCCCAAGGGCACGCAGCGGCCAAGCGGCCGGGGGCACCGGGACCCTGGCGCTCGCCGGGCCCAGAGCTCCGCGGGGGTGCGGGCGGGGCCCAGCGGTCCCCGGGCGGGTCCCCGCGCTCTCCCGGGGCTTCGGGTGGGGGATGGGGGGGCCGGGAGGCGGGGGCTCGGAGGCGCGGCTCCGGGCGGGGCTGGGACGCGGGAGAGGCCACCCAGCGCGCGCTGCCCAGGGTCCCCTCCCTCCCCACCCACCTCGCGCGGGGGAGGCGGGGGGCATCCCGGAGGGGATCCCGCCCCCTCCCCCGGCCGCCCGCGCCCCCGCACCCACGTGAGCGCAGGGCCAGCCCGGCTCCCGCCCGCAGCACAGCGCGTCCCGGCTCCGCGCCCGTGCCTCCGCCGGCCGGTCCCCGCACCAGCGCGGCGCCATCCCCCGCGGTCCCCGCAGCTCGCCGGCCGCTTCGCCGGGCTCCGGCACCTGCATCCGGGCGCAGCGCGCAGGCCGAGGCGCGGGCAGGCCGCCCCCGCCGCTCCGGGCGCGGGTGAGTGGGGACTCGGCGGCCCGCTCGGCCGGGGGCTCTGGGTCGGGGCGCGCGGGGTCCGAGGCGGGCTCGGCCCGCCCTGGGGTCAGGCGGGTGGGGGCCCCTGCGTGCGAGTTCCCGGCTCCCGGCGCCTTTGTCTCAACTGCCCCACAGCATGGTCGCCGCCGCTCATCCGGTCGCCTTGGTGAGTTTCCTCCCGCCTTAGTTGTCACCTAGGTCTCCCTGCCCATCTCCCCTCCTCCCCTTCCCACCCCAGGGTCCGTGCCTCACCTCGTGCACAGGTTTCCATCCCTGTGCCTGATGCCTCCTCCATTTCCAGGGCTGGGCTCCCTTCCCTATTTTGGGGGTGGGGTGGGGGTTATCCCTCCAACTCTGGACAGACTTTGGCACCGCTGCACGGGGGCTGGGTTGTGGGAAGTTGCGTGTGGGGTGTGGTGGTGTGGCGTGCGCGTTGCAGGCTGAACTTTTGAGTGGGCTTGCCTTCCTGGAGAGGTGTGTGTGGGCTGGATGTTTAAGTGTGGGAAGGAATTTGAATTGTTGGAGTTTTGTGTTTGGAGTCCCAAGTTGCGCGCGTGTGTGTGTTTGTGTGCAGCAGCTCTATGGCTCTCATTGTATGGAGTTTCATTTACGAAGGGGAATTGTGCAGGGTCTTGAAGGTGTGTGTGTGGGGTTGTCTGATGGTGTGCATGAATGTGGCAAGTGTGTGTGTGTGTGCATAGGGATTGTATAACTGACACTGCAGGAGTGGAGTTGCATTTCTGGAGGTGTGCGTGGGCTTGTGTGTCTGAAGAGTTCTCTGGGTGTGTGACTGGGTGTGTGGTTGTATTTGTGTCCATTGCACCCAAAGGCATGTGAGGCTGTGGGTTTGAAGGTGTGTGTGATTCCTCTCCTCTTTCCTTCTCTGCTCCCCCCTCTGGCTAGCAGAGTGTTGAGATAAAATGTATGGGAAGCATACATCTGCTCAAGCTTGCTTTGGTTTTAGGATGTAGGAGGCCCTTCCTCTCTTTCCTTTGGCTCCAAGGGAGGGGCGGCCAGTGCATCTCATCACATCTGAGAGTCTGGAGGTTGGGGGAACCAGGTGGGAGACCCATCCTGAACTCCTGCAGAGACTGGGGACACTAGAAGGGTCATTTCCCAAGCAGCAAGCCTAAGAAACAGGGTCAAGAGAATACCGAGGACCAGGAGAGACTGGAAAAGAGAGAATCCAGGGGTCAGAGGTTGTCTCTGTCCTCATTTCTGTGTCTGTTGGCTTTCTGCTTTTTGTCAACCACAGTTGACATCTATGTTGTGCCCACCAGGCGCTGTTCTAAGTGTCATTGGGCCATCTAAGCCACATAGAAAGTGATGTCTATCTCCACCAGCAAGGTGGAGGGAGATTTGAAATAAAGAACTCAGGTATGCTCTTCCACTAAGCTAGGGGCTGGCAAATTTTGTTAGTAAAGAGCCAGAGAGATTGTATTGCAGCCCATATAATCTCTGTCCCAACACCCCAGCTCAGCTGTTGTAATATGAAAGTAGCTGTAGAGGATGCTTGGGTGGCTCAGTGGTTGAGCATCTGTCTTTGGCTCAGGCCATGGTCCCGGGGGGTCCCAGGATCAAGTCCTGCGTTGGGCTCTCCGTGGGGAGCCTGCTTCTCCCTCTGACTGTTTCTCTACCTCTCTCTCTCTCTCTCTGTCTCTCATGAATAAATAAAATCTTAAGAAAAGTAGCCGTAGACAACATGTAGGGAGTGAGTAGTGGTTCTGTGCCAATAAAGCTATTTATAAAAAGAAGCAGTGGGCTGGGTTTGGCCCTTGGACTATGGTTTGTCCATCTTTGCTTTATGCAGCGCTGATTCTTGTAGGGAAGAGAAAGGAAGGAGACAAAAAAAAGCTTTGGCTAGTTCGTGGCTAGCTTGTATCTCACTTGAACACTCCCTTGGGACCCACCAGCAATTCTGCGCTACTACTTGGTGACTGGGAACATATATTCTATTTTCTTTTTTTGGAACATATATTCTAGAGAGAGGGAGGAATTAAGAGTTTCCTGTGTAGTCTGTGATCTCATGTCTGGGATTTTTCACAGCGAGATAAGAAACAGCATTATGGTTTCAAAACGATGGACCCAGTTGGAGCAGGACCCAAACTGGGGTTTGGCATTGAGAATGAGGGCTTGGATCTGGAGGAAGCAGGGCCTGGAAAGGTGAGACAGGTGTACCAACGTTTGGATACGGGGGGGATCAGGGTAGGGCAGTTGACCCCAGAAAAGTAGCTGCACTAGTGGCAGAAAAAAAAAATCCAGGGATCTGGATCTGGTGGAGCCAAGACTTCTCACAGGCTTCCAGACTCCCAGTCCCGACCTGGATGAAGTTCAGCACAGAACAGTATTGACTGTCTTCCTTTGGCTTGGAGAGTTTTTTCTAAGAGCCAGATAAATCTGGTGTGTTTGTCCGGAAATAGCACACTCGAAAAGCAGAATTGGAAAGGGTATAAGTTAAGGGCTATTTACAAAGATATGAGCAAAGTTAAGGAAAACCAGTAAGGTTGGGGTAGTAGCACTCAGGGACCAGCAAGAGCGGGAGTGGAGGGGAGGGGAGGAAGGCGAGAAGGGAGCAGGACAAACAAGGCCAGAGCCTTGGCTGCAACAAAAAATTGTGTTTCTTTTTTAGTTGAAATATATTTGATATATAACATTGTATAAGTTTAAGGTGTATACCATGTTGTTTTTATACATTTATATATTGTAATATAATCCTCATTGTAGTAATAGCATCTCTATTAGGTCAAGGGAGCCAGGAACACTCAAGGAAGAAAGGATAGTCTCTTCAACAGGTGTTGGGAAAACTGGATAAATACATCCAGAAAAATGAAATCGGACCCCTATCTTACACTACTCAGAAAAATTAAGTTGAAATGCATCCAAGTCTTAAATGTAAGACCTGATACCATAAAACTCCTAGAAGACAACGTAGAGAAAAAGCTCCTTGACGTTGGTCTTGGCAGTGAGTTTTCAGGGTATAATTCAAAAGCATAAACAAAAGCAAAAAAAAAAAAAAAAAAAAAAAAAAAAAAACCATGGGACCACATCACATAAAAAACCTCCTGCACAATAAAATAACAAAATGAAAAGGCAACCTACAGAATGGAAGACATTTTTTTGTAAACCAGGTATCAGATAAGAAGTTAATATCCTAAATATATAAAGAACTTACACAACTCAACAACAACAACAATCTGATTAACACATGGACAGAAGAACTAAATAGACATTTTTTTTTTTCAGAGAAGACATTCAAATGGTCAACAGATATAGAGGATTGTTTGACAGGACTGGAGGCCTGAGGCAAAGGAACACAACCACTGCTAAATAGGGGCTTGGCAAGAAGAATTAATGCTCCTCCCACTGGCCAGACCAAAAGGGGAGTGAGCAGGCAAGGGATCCCAGGCAAAGCCATCCCTGGTGGTCAGCTGTTTGCACCAGAGTGAATCTAGAGAGTCAACAGAATTCCCTGGATGCCTAGAATATGGGCACTGCCTCTTTTCTTTTCTTTTCTTTTCTTTTCTTTTCTTTTCTTTTCTTTTCTTTTCTTTTCTTTTCTTTTCTTTTTTCTTTTCTTTTCTTTTCTTCTTTTTTCTTTCTTTTCTTTCTCTTTCTTTTCTTTTCTCTCTTTCTTTCTCTCTCTCTCTTTCTTTCCTTCCTTCCTTCCTTCCTTCCTTCCTTCCTTCCTTCCTTCCTTCCTTCCTTCCTTCCTTCCAATCATTGTAGGCCACTCTGCCTATCATTCAAGAATAGGAGGTCCAGGGCCCAGGCCCATGATACTTTTAGGGATCCACAGAAATGCTTTCACTTTTTAAAACATCTAATTTAATTTAATTTTTTGTTTTTAAAAAAGTTCTTTAAAATCAGAAAAAAGAACTACACTCTTAGATTAAAAAAAAAAAGGGTAACATTTTCATCTAACATTACATTAGGTGAAATTCACATAACAGAAACGCTATCATTTTAAAGTGGTGTCAGTGGCATTTAGTACATTCTCAATGTTGTGCAACCATCTCCTCTATCTAGTTCCAAAATACTATATTCAGTTTTATATCATTTCAATTGTAAAATATATATATATATATATATATATATATTTTAATAGAGGAAGGAGTCCACAAAAACAAAAGTTCCTCTGGCTCATGAAAGTCACATTTCCAAGCTGCTCTCTACATGTAAGGTGTTTATTTTTTATTTTTCAAAATTTATTTATTTATTTATTCATGAGAGACAGAGAAGAGGCAGAGACATAGGCAGAAGCAGCCTCCTTGCAGGAAGCCCAGTGCAGACTCGATACCAGGATCATGACCTGAGATGAAGGCAGATGCTCAACCACTGAGCCACCCAGGCATTCCTACATCTGTTTAGTTGGTAAAGGATAGGCAGGTTTTTATTTTTATATGCATTTCATTTAATGTATATTAAAATACAATTTGCATTTCAAGCAATAATCTCTAGTTTCCCTTTAAGATAGATTTATTTAAATAAATAAAGTTACAGGGATGTGGTCAAGTACAGAGGAGACACAAAAGTCTGAAGTTTGGGAAACACCCAGAGAGATTCTGAACATCACATTTCCCTTCAAACCTGGATCCTGAAGAGCCCCTGGGGTCAAGGATTGTCACCATTTCTTTCCCAAGGGACCACACCTCCAGCCCTTTTGCTCACCTGAGCACTCATACAGGGACTTGCATTTATTGAGGGCTCACTGTTGCCAGGCACCTGTTGATTTTGTCGTTGTGATAAGGCCACTTGTCAACACCAAATCATGTTAATTTGAGGGGCTAACCCCAGTTGCCTTGTCTAGGGCTGTGCATGCAGTTGGTGCTCAACAAAGGCTCGCTAGTTTGTGAGCTGGGACAGCCCCCAATTCCTTGTGATGGTATAACGTAAGGAGGGCTCAGGAATCAGGGAATGGTGAAAGAATCCATTATTTACATTGTGGTCTCCTTCCCTACTATGTCGAGGATCGGATTCTGGAGATCTGGACCCTTTTCTGCCACGATATAACCCCTTGAACCCCAGGCAGTGTCCTCAGGTGTCCCAGCAGGGGCACACCCCAACAGGTGGAACCTCCTCTCCCCTGGTGTCTGGATTCTGAGTTCCTTGCCAGCATCCTCCACGCTTTCCCCTGTCCCCACATCCACTCTCTGTCCTGCCCGTCACCAGAAGGCCCTTCTATCCCCTGCAGATAGACGATGAGCAGCCACGGGAACAGCCTGTTCCTGCGGGAGAGTGGCCAGCGGCTGGGCCGGGTGGGCTGGCTGCAGCGGCTGCAGGAGAGTCTGCAGCAGAGAGCGCTGCGCACGCGCCTGCGCCTGCAGACCATGACTCGGGAGCACGTGCTACGCTTCCTGCGCCGGAACGCCTTCATCCTGCTGACCATCAGTGCTGTGGTCATTGGTGAGCCGGCTGGGAGGGGCAGGGACCTCGGAGAAATTCCTCCAAGCGCACATCTTTGCTCCTCCCCCTCATTCTCACCTGCACGTGGATGTGCCACCACCCCCAGCTTTGCCTCTCATGTAAGGACACATTCACCAAAATGGGGCGGAGTGACCCAGCCACTCCACGGAGTCTTCCTTTTGGTCCTAGGGGTCAGTCTGGCCTTTGCCCTGCGACCGTACCAGCTTACCTACCGCCAGATCAAGTACTTCTCTTTTCCTGGAGAACTTCTCATGAGGATGCTGCAGATGCTGGTGTTGCCACTCATTGTCTCCAGCCTGGTCACAGGTGAGAGAACCCAGCCCGTCCTGGCGTCCAGAGCCCCAGTTCAAACCTGGAGCCAAAGCTATCCCAAGCATGGGATCACCTCCTTATCTTAGGACCCCAAACATGAAGCCTGCACCTAGCCCTGAGTTCTTGGCCAAACCCCAGATCTTCATCAAACTCCGGTTCCAGACCCCATGTGACCTATGCCACTTATCTCAGTAACTTTACTGTGCTTTTCCATGGAGGTAAAATATCAGCCTTCCAGGGGTTTACCATCATCCACAGTTGAAAGAAAGGCTGTGATAGAGCAGCCAGGTAACAGAATGGCCTCCTTGGTCAAGGAGTGGGAGGTGGGTGAAGGTGTTTGAGATAGAGGTGACAGGATAGTGGGTGGGGGCTGGGGTAGAAATAGGGATGAGTTATACAGCGGTATGCAAATTCTTCTGTAAAGGGCCAGATAGTGAACGTTTTCAGCATTGGGGGCCATACAATCTGTCGTAACTGCTCAGTTCTGCAATGGTGGTAGCAGACCCATCTATAAACAAATGGGTGTGGTTGTGTTCCAATAAAACTTTATTTGCAAAAACAGGGGGCTGGATTTGGTTCCTAAGTAGTTGATTGCCAATCTCCAGATTTTGGGATGGGGATGAAGATAAAGTCCTGAAAGAGTGGTGTCTTGGGTTGGCTTTCCCAGAAGCAGAGCCTAAGATGGGGATATTTGCACAAGTGATTTATTGGGGGATAACATTCGAGAGAGACCCATGAGGAACTGAGAGGAGCGAGATGGAGCAGGGAAAGAATCCAAGCAGAGATGTGGGTTCAGAAGAAGGCTAGCCTCTCAGCCTTTTATCCCACGGGTAGCTCTGGAGCAGGAGTGATGCTACAGAATTGTTCTTCCAACTCTGCCTCCAGCTGAATCAAAGAAGCTGGCCTTTTAAATCCCTGTACCAGGCAGCCTTTGGCTTTAGGTTTTCCATGGGGTATTTCTGGGCAAATCAGCTTTTGTTCTGCTGAGGGCAGTTCTCCAGAGAAGGGGGCCACACAGACTGTTAGCAACCAACAATGCAGCAGGTGGAGGGCAGGCATGTCAGTCTGGTAAAGGGCTTTTGGATGGAGCAACAAAAGAAGTCTCTTTCACGATAGCATACAGTGAGGTGAGTTGGAGGGGGTATAATCTTGGGGTTAATAGCAGGATGAAGAGTGGAATGAAGATGATGTCATGGTATAATCCAGGCATAAGTGGAGGATGGGGTGGGAGTTGAAAAGGTTGGCTTGATGTAGAGGGAAGGTTAGTGAAGTGGGGCTTGGGATAAAGGAACGGGTAGAAGGTGTACATAGAAAATAAAATGGGGCTGAAGAATGATGAGAGGAGACGAAGGATGGTGTGGGTGCTAGGGTGGGGCACAGAAGGAGACGCTTGGTAGGATGCTTGTTGAGCTGGTGGTGAGGGAAGTCAAGCCAATGGATGGGAAGGTGGGTGGTGGGGGTGCAGATGGAGTTTCTCAGGGCTGTACCACCCATCCTCTAGGTATGGCATCCCTGGATAACAAGGCAACAGGGCGGATGGGGATGCGGGCAGCTGTGTACTACATGGTGACCACGGTCATTGCTGTCTTCATTGGCATCCTCATGGTCACCATCATCCATCCTGGGAAGGGCTCCAAGGAGGGGCTGCACCGCGAGGGCCGTATTGAGACCATACCCACAGCCGATGCCTTCATGGACCTGGTCAGGTGACGTCCTTTCTAATTTTGATGGGAACTCTGGCCCTAGATACAACAAGCCATACTCAAGGAGAGACAAAGGGGACAGGTGATTCAGCCTGGAAGTGCAACACCCAAGTTGAATCTAGGTTATTGGTACCCATTTTCTGCCCTAGAGCCTTGCACAAACCCTCTGAGAGTAGCTGGCTCCTAGGGTGTGATCTTTGGCCCTTAGGCTCAGGAGGTTTCAGCTGTATTCTGAGATGGGCTCAGAACAGGTGGCGTTTGGTGTTCCCCAGCTTCATTGGAGGATGAATGATTCTCTTAAAGAAGCAAGATTTTGCCAGCTTGTCATAGTTCTTCCCTAGTCACTGACTTAGGGGAAAACCCAGATCTGAGGTCCACAAGTTGTCAGTGTTTTTTGAGGCATCACTGGTACATGTGTGTGAATTGAAGTCTGTGAAGTAGCATAGGGTTCTACTGAAGGGCTCAGAGAGGCCTGGATTTGAGGTCCATCTGTACCCCTTATGAGCTGTGTGGCTCTTGGTAACTTCCATAGGTTCTCTGCTCCTTGGTTTCTTTGTACATAAAAAGGGGACCTCAATAGTGCTCACTTCTAGAGTTATTTACTCATGAGCACTTACTCATATGGGTAAGTGCTTGGCCTAGAGTAAGCATTCACTTGTTGGCCACCATTATTATGGTTGGTACTATTGCTATTATTATGACTATTATCACCCTGGACTCCTTCCCAAGGTCTAACCACCTCCCTTCCTCTGATGTTTTTCTGCAGAAATATGTTTCCGCCCAACCTGGTGGAGGCCTGCTTCAAACAGGTCAGGGGGAAGTACACAGTGTGGTCAAGGAGGCTTGGAGGGTGGGGGGAGCTTGCTGCCCAGTGAGTGGTCCTGGGATGAGGGATGGGAGGAAGGGCTTGCTGGAGCCATGGGCAGGGGCTTTTGGAAGAGTCGGGGAGAAAGAATGTACTTCCCATTGGTGGGGTGATCAAGGGAGGATTACAGAAAAGGATTTAGGCGAAGAGCTGCCTGGGGATGGTACTGGAGTCTCACCATGGATGGTTGAGGAGAGAGGCCCCCAAATCTGTTTGAGCAAGGGGCTTTGAAAAATGCAGAATCTGTACTCATTCTGCCATGCGTTCATTCCTTCATTCATGTATTCCTTCACTTGTTCTTCTATCCTTTGGTCAAGTCCTCTGAATAAGACTCTCCAGGGGTCCAGGGGTGGCAACCAGGAATTGGTGCTCTAAATATATTTCTCCAGGAGATTTGGATGAATTGATTTTGGCCCTGATCTCTCCATATTTCAGTTCAAGACGCAGTATAGCACGAGGTTGGTAACCAGGACCATAGTGAGAACAGAGAATGGATCTGAGCCGGGCACTTCCATGCCTCCTCCATCCTCAATGGACAATGGAACCAGCTTCCTGGAAAATGTCACCTGGGCCTTGGGCACCCTGCAGGAGGTGCTGAGCTTCGAGGAGACTGTGCCTGTGCCTGGCTCAGCCAATGGCATCAATGCCCTGGGCCTTGTTGTCTTCTCTGTGGCCTTTGGACTGGTCATTGGTGGCATGAAACACAAGGGCCGAGTCCTGCGGGATTTCTTTGATAGCCTCAATGAGGCTATTATGAGGATGGTGGGCATCATTATCTGGTGAGTGCTGGGCTGTGATGTGGCGGGGGTAGGGTGGTAGGGGGGCTGGTGATGGCACATGGGAAGGCTGGAGCTGGGCCTGGGAAGTCAGGCTGTGGGGCAGCTGTTCAAGGGGCCATTGGGGTCATTTGGCCAAAGTCATTCATGTATATATTGGTTAATTGACTCATTCATACGTTTACTCATAAACTCATTCACAGGCTCATCCATGCATTAATGAAGTCATTGATTGATTGCCTGACTGATTTACTCACTCCGCTATGTATTCATTCAAGCTCATTCTTTGGGCCACTCATTCATCTCTGCATTTGTTATTCTCCCATTTGCTCACCACATATTCTCTGCATTCCTTCACTTAACATGCTCATTCATTCTCTTGCCCGTTCATTTGTGCCTCATTTTCTTTTTTTTCATTTGCTCATTTTCTTGTTTATCCACTCACTAGTTATTCCTTAGTTGATACACGCATGCATCCATTCTTTACATTTTTCCATTCCTTCACTGATTTCTTCACTCACTCAGCAGACATTTCCTGGGCTAACTTTGTCTGGAACACAGAGATACATTGAATTCAGTCCCTGTTCCTAAGAAGTTCAGAGGAGTCTGAAGTCTTGGAGGAGACAGACACACACTCGATAAATGTAATGCAAGGTGGAATGTTCTAGAGCAAAGGGACATTCAAAAAGTGTTGGGAATGGGGAGAAGTGAGCAGCCAGGGGAGGAATCATGCAGTGAACTCTGCCTGGGAATGTGAAGAGGGAGTCATGGAAAAGGCCGCCTTGTGGTTGGATCTTGAAAGGCAAGCAGAAACCCAAAAGGACAGGAAGAGGAGAGAGGCCCTCCAAGCAGAGGGAAGAGAACATGCAAAGCCTGCAAGAGCCTGAGTTGGTTGGAGAATGGCGGGGAGTTCAGGGAGGTGGGAGCACAGGGTAAGTTGGGAGTGGTGGTGCAAGATGTTAATAAGACTGCTTAGTACCAAACTGGCACTAATTAGAAAGTTGTGTATGGGGCTTAGGGTCAAGTGTAAAGCTTGGAAAAGCAGCTGAGGGGAATGTGAGAGGGGAGCTTATCAAGGATAGCCAAGAAGAGTGAAAAGATTGAAGCTCAACTGGATTGGGAACCATTAATTTATAGTGGTGTCATTGGCAGGGCTGGGAAAAATACCCAGATGTGCCATCTGGGTGAGTGTAGAAGGAAGGAAGGCCATGCAATTGACTTGGGTTGAGGAATTTTGTGGGGGATGAGGAGGAAGGATGAAGATGAGGGAGCTGGGGAGGGGGTTCACAGAGCAGTCATAGAGGTAGGTCTAGACTGGGAGATAGCTCAGCAACCTCCCATCGGGTGAGACCGGCTTAGCCCAGGCTTAGCCCAGGGGAATACAGATGTGGCCAATACAGAAGTGCCCGCATCCTTCCCACCACCTCAGGGTGGGTCTCATCATTTCTGACCCAAGCTATTGTACCAATTTCCCAAGAGGTCCTTACCTCCTCCAATGCCTCTACCATGAGAACAACCAAGCGTATACTTCAGTTTCTAAAGAGAGAGGAGTAAGAGCTGAAGCCTGGTGACGGGGGAATGAAGGCACCACTGGCAGGAACTCGCAAGACTAAGATGTGCTGGTTTGTGGGGAGCGCAGGTGAGCCCCTGATGTACTCACTTCTGTCTCCTCTCACTCGTCCCTCTAGCCACACTGGTCTGCTCTCTGCCCCTTCAGCACCTCAAGCTCATGCTCATCTCAGGGTCTTTGCATAGTGTCTGCAATGCGTCCCTCTCAGATAGATGTGTCCCTTCTCATCGTTCAGGCCCCTGAGTGAATGTCACATCTCCAGAGAAGCCCTCCCTGACCACGCATGCTGATGCAGCCCCACTCAGGGGCGCTGTTTTGCAGCTCTCACTGCCCGAAGTTTTTAATTAGGCATTTCTGTGTGTACTGCCTCTTATCCCCATTGAAATGTAGGCACCACAGGGGCAGGGACCATGTGACTGGAGCAGAGTAGACACTCAAGAGAGTGGTTGAATAAATAGATGATTTGATAAGATGCCTGGTTTGGGATGTCTGTGGGGGAAATTCAGGTGACATGGCTCCGGTCTGGTGAGTGAATGAGGAGGTGTGCTTAGGGGGCATTGAGGTTACACATTTAGATCAAACAGAGTTGGAGGCAGTGAAAAGGCCAGTGATAGGGAATGTCTGGGCCACATCTACGGAGAGAGTCCCAAAGTCAGTTGGCTATTTGGGGAGAGACTTGAATGGCAGAGTAGAGGAAAGAGAGACCTTATAAAATTGTATGCCCTGGACTTGTAGGAGTTTTTCCCTGCTGTTCTGGGCATGAGCTGTGGGTAAGCAGGAGGAAGAAATGGGATGTGTTTGTGGGGGTCCATCCCTGTTTGTCAGTGTGTGGGGAAGGTTGGGGTGGAGTAGGGTGCTGCGTGGTGGGCACGGTCTGGCTCCAGGGACTTATATAGGCAAAGCCTTGGGGATGCCAGCTCTGAGCATTGGGGGAAGTCACGAGGGAGCTTTGACAGGTGTCTGGCTTGGCCTAGGTATGCACCTGTGGGCATCCTGTTCCTGATCGCTGGGAAGATCCTAGAGATGGAGGATATGGCTGTCCTGGGGGGTCAGCTGGGCATGTACACCCTGACTGTCATTGTGGGCTTGTTCCTCCATGCCGGTGGTGTCCTGCCCCTCATCTACTTCCTCATCACCCACCGGAACCCTTTCCCCTTCATCGGGGGTGTACTGCAGGCCCTCATCACTGCCATGGGCACGTCTTCCAGGTATGGCCCCATCCCCCACCCCTGGTCCTTTTCTGAAGTTTGCTGCTTATGGTTCACAGGCTCTCTAGGAGTCCTGTCCCCCTGTCCCTGTACTGAACCTCGTCTGAGCTACTCTATTATGTCAGTGGCTCTTGTAGGTCTCCAGATTGATGGATACCAGGGTGGGGAACTCCGTCCTGGGCTGGCTCTCCTGTTTTCCATATTTTCTATTTTTCTAATTTATATGGAGAAGAACCAGCTGCCATTTTTGAGATTAGGACCAAGGTTCCAACATGCCCCAAATTCTCTGTAATTTTGTAGCTCAGAGTCTCTTTTCCCCTCACAATTGTCTGTAGGAGTTCTCTTGGCTTCCTTCTCCTTTTCTTATGGTTTTATGGGGTTAATAGAGCTTCCCTTTTCCCCATCATTCAAATTCAAAACAGTTTGAGAAGTATCACAAGAGCCAACTGGGTGGAAGAATAATATCATTGCCATTGCTCATAATGCTCCCTGGAGAATGTGCCTTTTGGTCTGTGGCCAATAGGATTGGTGACATTGTATCCCAGAGTGAAACTTACCTGATCACCAGAGGGCTGGATCCCCAGAGGCCTTCTCTGTGGGTCTAGGCTTCTCACCACATGACATCAGGCTAACCAGACAGAGCACATGCTTTGTGGACAGGTGGACTCCAAGAGAGATGCCCACTCCTTCAACTAAACTCACCAATCAGTTAGGTCACTCATCCCCCTCCCCGCCCCAGGGAGTGGTGGGAGAGAGACTAGGAGGGTTGGTGTAGCTGAGGTTGCTCCCTGAGCTATAGGAGTGGGTACTAGGGGTCCCTGTAATATTTCTCTCCTACTCTGAGGGCTTGTGAGGTCAGCAGACCCCCAGTCTTTTCCTTTCTGGGAGTGGACAGTTCACTAGTGACATAGACAAGTGTCTAGTAATTAGCCTTAACCTATTGGCTTTAAGTGGTTCAAGAGACCTTCACCTTTGGAGACCACCATTGCCGTGTGCTTCCTGCATTGTGAGGAGCACCTCTTCCCTGTGCCGTTATCAATCCCTGAAATATTACACACCTACCATCCTCCCCTTGCCCTGGCTCCCACCTGGTCTTCCAGTGTTCTCAGCAGAATCCCTCCTTTGGCCCATTGCTGCTCCAGCCCCACATGGCTGCCCCCCCGTTCTCAGCTGCCAGGACTCTCTTCCCTAGCTCTGCAACACTGCCCATCACCTTCCGCTGCCTGGAGGAGGGCCTGGGTGTGGACCGACGCATCACCAGGTTCGTGCTGCCTGTGGGGGCCACTGTCAATATGGACGGGACTGCCTTGTATGAGGCCCTGGCCGCCATCTTCATTGCCCAAGTCAACAACTATGAACTCAACCTGGGCCAGATCACGACCATCAGGTGAGGCAGTCTTGGGTGGGATCTGCCAGCAGGTGAGACCTAAGAAGCCATTAGCTTGGCTAGGGCTGGAGGGAACCTTAGCTTTAGGTTAAGGGAGGCTTTGAATGTTGGGTGGGGGGATGTGGGAAGAGCCCAGCCACCCCTGCCAAATGAGGCTAAAGGTGAGACTTTGCAACCTGAGCCTGTCAGGAGCTGGCCAGATGTTTCAGTCTCATCTTCTCTCACATGCTATCATGGGAGGTCCTTCTGCCCAGTATTTTCCAAAGTATGGCTGGTAGAACCTAAAAACCAGAGGCTCTTATAATAAGGATGGATCCCTGGGCCTCATCACCCAAAGGTTCCAATGTGGTCATTATAAATATAACAGCACACATTATCACCTCCTTTAGGACTTTGCTGCGTTGTCCCTGCTCGGGGGAGTGGTCCCTGAACATTCTACTTAAAATTGCATGGTCTGGATTTTCATAGGCTGAACCATTTCTCTGTAGCACCATCTGCCTTAGTATATATTTTAACCACTCATCTTGCTTATTGCCTGTCTCCCCCACTAGAATGTAAGCTCTGTTTGGGCAGGGATTTTTCTTCTGTGGGAATTTCTAGTAGGTGTATAGTGTGTAGGAGATGCTCAATAAATATGAGTTGAAAGAATACATTTATTGAAGGCTGCTTTTTTTTTTTAAGATTTTATCTATTTACTTGAGAGAGAGCACACAGAGGGAGAGGGAGAGGGAAAGGGAGACAGAGGCTCCCCACCAAGCAGGGAGCCCAATGTGGGGCTTGATCCTAGGACCCCAGGATCATGACCTGAGCCAAAGGCAGATACTTAACTGACTGAGTCACCCAGGTGCCCCTGATGGCTACTTTTTATTTTCAGGCACTTACTTTAAGATGTCCCAGGGAACTGCCTTTCCTTCTGTTGTCCCCTTTCTCACTCTTTTCCTTGTCCTCCCCTTCCCACCTCTTGCCCCTCTGTGTTCTCTCTCTGTGTACAGTATCACAGCGACAGCAGCCAGCGTTGGGGCTGCTGGCATCCCCCAGGCAGGTCTGGTCACCATGGTCATTGTGCTCACATCGGTCGGCCTGCCCACTGAAGACATCACACTGATCATAGCTGTGGACTGGTTCCTGTGAGTGTTCTTCAGATCCTTGCACTATGTCACAACTCCCCCTGCTTTCCTTGTGAGACGCCCAACCCGTGGGCCCTCATTCCATCAAAGACACAGAGGTCTAGAATTTTAGAGTAGAGGGGAAGCCTTGGAGAATACTCCTAGCCATAGCCTGTGATCTGAAATTCCATAGAGTGAACCTTGGGAAATAGGATGGAGAGGAGATGAGTATTGGGGGCTTTATCTATCAGCCTGAAAAGCCCCCCTTGTACTTGCTTTATGGAGAAGTCACAAAAAGGTGATCCATAGGATAGAGCTGGCTTGCAAATTTTTGTTGTTATTGGTTTGTTTTTGTTTTTAATTCTCAACTTTGAAAAACAGGAGGTTTACATTAAAAAATAGTCTGGACTTTCCTCCCCATGTGGGAGTTGTCAGGTAGACCCGAATCCCATTTAGATTAGTTTCTATTCTGACCTCATTAACTCATGGTGGTTACCTTCTGCATGCTGTTTAGCTCACAACCCCTCATTTTCTCTATCAGATGTTTATATCCTTAAAAAGAAAGAATTGCATAGCTAAGAGCAAATGTGTGCCTATCAGAGTTGATCCAACCTGCATTTGCTAGGAGGGGAAACTAAGGACATCGAAGGGGAGGGACCTGCTTGAGGTTATGTGGTCATGGATGGGACATAGACCTCAACTCCCAGGCACAAGGAACCTCCCACCCTGCTGTACCTTCTCCTCCATGAGCTCTTCAGACCTTGGCTAACAGTGGCTTCTCTCTCCCTCTCCCTCCCCAGTGACCGACTTCGTACAATGACCAATGTCCTGGGGGACTCTATTGGAGCAGCCGTCATTGAGCATTTGTCTCAGCGAGAGCTGGAGCTGCAGGAGGCCGAGCTCACCCTCCCCAGCCTGGGGAAACCCTACAAGTCACTCATGGCACAAGAGAAGGGGGCGTCCAGGGGACGGGGAGGCAATGAGAGCGCCATGTGAGGGGCCCCCAGCTCTGCTGCCCAGAGAGGAGGGAATGGGGCTGGGGGGAGGGGGAGGTCCTAGGGAAGACTCACTGCCTGAATGACTGTGAATGACTGTGCACTGAACACACATATTCTGTCTGGCTTGTTTGGTGGAAACTGAGATAAAGGAGCAGGAATGAAAGGATGTCCAAAGCCTCCGTTTCTCTGTGAATGCATGGGGAGAACTTGTGGAGGGCAGTGAGTCAGGTGGGATGGGAAGGAAATGCTTCCCCTGGGACTGGGGGTATGGGCAGCTTTGAGTCCAGCAAGCTGAGGAGTCGGTTCATGTTCTTGATTTTCTCAAAGAGTGGTGGAATTGAAGGAGGTAAAGGAAAACCATCATTTATTATAATAAAACAATGTTCTGTGTCAGATTTCCCCAAGACCTTCAATGATTTCCTAGAAGGACTCATGGAACTCAGAAAACTGTGATGCTCCCAGTTATGGTTTACTGCAGTAAAAGGATACAGATTAAAATCTGCAAGGAATAAAGTTGCCTGGGGCAGGGTCCAGAAGACACCAGACATGGGCTTCCAATTGTCCCCTCTTAGGGGAGTCCCATGGACGCCTTTAATTCTCTCAGCAATGATGTCTGAAAGCATCTATGAATATTTCCAGTCAAGGAAGCTCACCTGACCCTTGGTGTCCAGTATTTTTACTGGGGGTCTGTCTTGTAGGCATGGAGTGCTCGCTGACCTTCACTACTCATTCTTCAGCCCCCACAGGAGTCAACTGAATACAGCATTGCCCAGGGTCCCAGGTGAACAAAAACATGGTAATTTACATTTTCAGCATAGTCGATCTGGCATGACTCAAAGCCCCAGGTATACAAAGACATTTTTATCAGGGAGGATATTCCAAGGGCTTGGAGGTTATTTCCTAGGAGCCAGTCAAGGGCAAGACTTTTCTCTGGATATGCAGACTTTGAGCACCTCTAGCCCTCTGAGTTAACCCTTTACTTCAAACACTCATGGCTGGGAATAGAGGAAGTAGCTTCCCATGGGGATGAATAGCTGAGTCTTGTAGTCCCAACTCTGGACTTCTGAAACCCATTGTCTGAGATACCCCATACTGGCCTCAGGAAACTCTGTGTTCTCCAGGCAAGCCCACGAACCAGGTGAGACATTAAGCGAGACCTTAATAAAGGCTTGGGGGAAAACACAAATAGTAACATGATTCCAGATGTCATGGGCATAACTCAACTCTATAACCCTTTTGTCTGGGAAACACTTTATCTATCTATCATCTATCTATCTATCTATCTATCTATCTATCTATCTATCTATCATCTATTCATTCATTCATGAGAGACAGAGAGAGAGGGAGGTAGAGACACAGGCAGAGGGAGAAGCAGGCTCCATGCAGAAAGCCTGGTGTGGGACTTGATCCTGGGACTCCGAAGGCAAACACTCAACCACTGAGCCATCCAGGCGTCCCTTTTTTTCTAAATTAAGCTTCACTTGAGCACCTACCTCTCAAAGGGAGATGGGACATTCAAGCACAGATATATGTGGGGATGCCTCCTGCCCCATTCTTTAGGATCTCAAGAGAACCATTGGGCATACATAATTGAAGTAACTTGGAAAAAGGGATCAGAATTCTTTTACCTAATGCAGTCACCGTGGAAACATTTGTGTGAGAGATTGGAAAAGTCCATGCAAAGGCAAGAAGCTTATAAAACATCCTACTCCACATTTGATCCTGGGGAACTTCGCTTGGGATCCCAGTCTCAAACCAGATTTTCTGTCTCTAGCCTATGGCCAAAGTTCTGTGTCTGCAGAAAGCTCCTTGTGAGAGAAGGGTATATTAGTTTGCTAGGGTTGCTATGACAAAGTGCCACAGGCTAGGTGGCTTAAACAATCGGAACTTATTTTCTCTTAGTTTTGGAAACAAATCTTTGGCTTGATTCCATTCACAGAACTTCAGAAAACATCTCTAAATGAGTTTTCAGGGCAATATTTCCTGATTAGGCACATATCCCATCACCTTGAGGATACACATTCAATATGTGAGATTTGGTTTATTTTAAGAAATCCAAACCATTACTGAAGATTACTGAGAAAATAGCAGGTTTTATTCATACCAAGTTAAAATGACTAGTTACAGAATGAGAAAAGGAATCCACCACAATGGAACATGAAGAAAATAGAGGACAGGGAAGAACCAAGGAAAGTCTTGCTCAAAAACACATAAAATTAGGAAAAATAAAAATACTGCATAAAGGAAACTAAGATTTCTCATCTTCATTATTGTGTCCCCAGCTACTCATGAGACTCCTGATGCTGAAAGGTACTACCCTGCTGAGGAGCCTGCCCAGGGCCCCCTTCATGTCCCTGTTCCTCAAGCTGTAGATGAAGGGGTTCAGCATCGGGGTGACAATGGTGTACATCACCGAGGCCATCAGACTCATCTTAGAGAATGAAGTCACTGCAGAACTGAGGTAGACCCCAAGACCTGTGCCATAGAACAGGGAGACCACCAAGAGGTGAGACCCACACGTGGAAAAGGCTTTATATTTGCCCCTGGCTGATGAAATTCTCAGGATGGAGGAAAAAATCTCAGAATAAGAAAAGAGGGTTCCAGAGAGAGGAAAAACACCTAGGACAATAGTCACAAAATACACCACTATGTTATTGATGAGGATGTCAGAACAGGCGAGCTTCAGGACTTCAGGAAGATCACAAAAAAAGTGTGGGATTTCCATGTTTGTGCAGAAGGACAGCCTCAAAAGGGTCAAGGTCTCGAGAAGGGAGCCTGTTACACTGATGCACCAGGACCCCAAGACGAGCAGTCCACAGAGCTGGGGGTTCATGATGACTGTGTAGTGCAGGGGGTGACAGATGGCCACAAAGCGGTCATAGGCCATCACGGTCAGGAGTAAATTGTCCAGGCATCCAAATACAATGAAAAAAAATATCTGGCTGAGGCATCCTGCATATGTTATGGTTTTGCTCTGAGTCTGGATGTTCAGCAGCATCTTGGGGACGGTGGTAGAGGTGAAACAGATGTCAGCAGAGGACAGGTTGGCGAGGAAGAAATACATGGGTGTGTGGAGGTGGGAGTCTGAGCAGATGGCCAGGATGATGAGCAGATTCCCAGTGAACATGACCAGATACATGGACAGGAACAACCCAAAGAAGAAAGGCTGTAGGTCCAGTTCCTCTGTGAATCCCAAGAGGAGAAAGTTTCCAACTCCTGTTTGGTTTCCTCTTTCCATGGGGCTACTGGGTGTGTCCAGAAGGAGGAAAAAAGTAACACAAGATTCACTCTAAATAAGCATTCCCCAGAAGGATAGAAATTTCCTTAATCCAAACTCTGAGGATTCATGAAGTCATTCATTTTGGCTAATGATTGGCTTTCTTTGCTGACAAATTATGGTAACCATTGCTACCTGGAAAAATTGTCTCTAAGATCAGTGGTTCTCAAATCATGGTCCCTGACCAGCACCATCAGTGTCACCTGGGAACCTGTTAGAAATGCACATTTTCAGACCCGCCTGACCTAATGAATCAGATAATCTGGGTGTGGAACCAGCACTCTGTGCCTTGACAAGCCCTCCTGGGGACTATGACGCACACCCAAGTTTGAGGACATTGCTTTCGTGCTTGTCTGCATCCCTAAGCAATCGTCCCTGATGTCTGCTTTTGCATTTTCTGCTCAGTGCTTGTGGGAATGGGGAATTCCCTAATGCCAGGCAAAGATCTTCTAATCTTTGAGAAGTTCTTTCATTGTGCTGTCTTTCTGTAATTTCTTTATCTTAGATCTTCTGGACCTTGGGTACTCCTTCTGCTAAGAAATTAATAACCAATATTATTATTCTTAGTCATCATTTATATTTCATTTGTATTATCAGTGTCCCATGTAAATTCAGCAAAAATTGAATTTATAAATATACTCTCATAGAGCTTCTTATTTACTTATTTATATATAAATTTTAAAAATTATTTTTCTAAATTCCAGTATAGTTAACCTACAGGGTTAGATTAGTTTCAGGTGTACAAATGGTGATTCAACAGATCTATCCATGTCTCAGGTCTCATCATAAGTATACTCCATAATCCCCTTCACCTATTTCACCCATCCCTCACCCACTAACCACGTTTGTTCTCTATCATTGAGTCTTTTTTGTCTCTGTTTTTAATTGTTTTTTAGTGTTAAAATGTAAAATCTAGTTAATTTACATACAGTGTAATTTTTAGAATTTAGTGATTCAACACTCTCATACACTTGGTGCTCTTCCCAAGTGCCCTCCTTAATCCCCATCTCCCCCTGCCCACCTCCCCTCTGGTAACCATTAGTTTGTTCTCTAGAGTTAAGGGTCTATTTCTTGGTTTGTCTCTCTCTTTTCCCCCGTGTTCACTTGTATTTTTTCTTAAATTCTGCATCTGAGGGAAATCATGCAACATTTGTCTCTCTCTGACTGATTTCACTCAGTATGATACCCTCTAGATCCATCCACATTATTGCAATGATGCAAAATAATGACCAGATTATATTCTTTTTTATGGCTAAGCAGTATTCCATTGTATATGCAAACCACATCTTCTTTATCCATTCATCTATTGATTATAGTGTCCAGACTGTAAATATTGAGTTTGTCTTCACCTAAGTTCATCTTTTATTTCTAGCCTTTATAGTTAATTACAAAAAATTGCACATATCCAACATATACATGTTGATAAATTTGCACATATGCATTCATCTGTGGTATCATCACTATAATCAAGGTAATAAACATATCTGTCAACTCCCAAAGTTTCCTTGGATTGTTCTGAGTGCTTTTTTGTGTGATAAGGATACTCACAATTTATCCTCCTAACATATTTTGTTTATTTTATTTTAAGATTTTATTTAGTTATTCATGAAAGACACAGAGAGAGAGTCAGTGACATAGGCAGATGGAGAAGCAGGAACCCCGATGTGGGACTTGATCCCAGGATCCCAGAATCATGACCTGAGCCAAAGGTAGACACTCAACCACTGAGCCACCCATGTGCCCCTCCTCCTAACATATTTTAAAGTGTACTGTCCTGTATTATTAACTATACTTACTAAGTTATACACCATATCTCTAGAAATTATTCATCTTGCACAACAGAAACTTTATACCCATTGAGCAACAATTCTCTATTTTACTCTCCTCCTAGCCACTGGCAACCAATATTCTATTCGCTGCTTCTATGAATTTGAGGATTTTAGATGCTTTATGTAAGTGGAGTCATGCAGTATTTGTATGTCTGTGTCTGGCCTATTTCACTTAGGATAATGTCCTTCAGCTTCATTTCAGGGTTCATTCACAGAAGGCAAGATTTCTACACAATATTTTAATGTATTTTAGGTTTTATGTCATTAGTAGTGATTTTCTTCCAAATTATATCTCTGATATTACTATTATATATAAATATATATATTTTAAATATTTTATTTAATATATAATTATTCATGAGGGACACAGAGAGAGAGAGACAGGCAGAGACACAGGCAGAGGGAGAAGCAGGCTCCATGCAGGGAACCCTACGCGGGACTCGATTCTGGGACTCCAGGATCATGCCCTGGGCTGAAGGCAAGTGGTAAACTGCTGAGCCACCCAGGGATCCTCTGATATTACTATTTACATTAAGAAAACTTTTGATTTTTTGGTATTATGAAGTATGTGCATTTTCTGGATTTTATTAACAATTTTAAGAGTTTCTATAGTATTTACATACTTTTTCCAAATAATATTAATTTATAACACCTATTTATCTTTAGGTCTTTTTGCATTGGTATGAAATTCCACAACACTTCTCAAATTTACAGTAAAAGTTGTTCTTCATTTCATTCAAAAGAATAATCCTGGAATTTTGTAATTTAATAAGATATTCATCATAATTTAGGATATATAAAAATATTTTTGTCAACTTAAGTTTCATTTTTTATTACTACACTTTAGAGGATCTTTAAAAGGCATAAATGTTTTGTGATTGACAATATAGGAAAAATAATGTTAAATCTGATATCCACATTCCCTAATAAACTTTTTTCAAACTTTTGTTAAGTTTTAATTTAAATTTCAGTTACTTAACATACAGTGTAATATTAGTTTTAGGTGTAGGATTTAGTGATTCTAATATCTACTTTTTATAAAAGATTAATTTATTTATTCATGACAGACGGAGAGAGAGAGGCAGAGACACAGGCAGAGGGAGAGGGAGAGAAGCAGGCTCCATGCAGGGAGCCCAACGTGGGACACGATCCCAGGTCTCCAGAATCACAGCCTGGGCCAAAGGCAGTCCCAAACCGCTGGGCCAATGGGGCTGCCCTACATTTTTTTTAAAGTAAGCTTTACACCCAATATGGGGCTTGAACTTATGACCTCAAGATCAAGAGTTGCATGCTCTATTAACTGAGCCAGCCAGGGAAATATTATTATTTCCCTAATAAATTTCAATGTTTAATGTCAAGTGTGGCACAAAGAGACCATACAAGCTGTCAGAAGATAATAAAAAACATAGGTAATATGAATTTATATATGAAGATATATAATCTTTGAAAGTAGTTATCTCTGAATAAAAAGTCTAGAAATAAGACAATAGAAGAGAAATAAGAGAAGAAAGATCAGTTAGTGGGTCATAAATGGCAAAAAATTCTTAATGATAAAATGTGCCATGCAGAAAATTAGATTATAAAAAATAATCAAAAGGAATGAAATTTTGCCATTTACAACTACGCGGATGAGACTAGAGGGTATTATGCTAAGTGAAATAAGCCAGTCAGAAAAAGACAAATACCATATAATTTCACTCCTATGTGGAATTTAAGGAACAAAACAGATGAACACAGGAGAAGGGAAGGAAAAATAAAATAAGAAAAAAACAGGGGCACCTGGGCGGCTCAGTCGGTTAAGTGGCTGCCTTAGGCTCAGGTCATGATCTCAGGGTGCTGGGATCAAGCCCTACATTAGGCTCCCTGCTCAGTGGGGTGTCTACTTCTCCCTCTCATTCTGAATTCTCCACCCTGCTCATGCTCTCTCTCTCTCAAATAAGTAAAGTGTTAAAAAAAAGACGAAAAGGAGGGTACTTAAAAATTTTTATTTAGATTCATTTAATTAACATATAATGTGTTACTGGTTTCAGAGTTAGAGTTCAGTGATTCATCAGTCTTATATAATGCCCAGTGCTCATTACATCACATGATCTCCTTAATACCCATCATCCAGTTACCCCATCCCTCCACTCTCCTCCCTTCCAGCAACCCTCAGTTTGTTTCCTATGATTAAGAGTCTTTTATGGTTTGTCTCCTTCTCTGTTTTTGTCTTGTTTTGTTTTTTCCTCTCTTCCCCTATGATGGACACAGATTTAAGGACATGCACAACTTTGCAAGATAATATTAACTATAACTCCGTGGTACAAATTGGAAAATCTCTAAGAAATAGATTTATTTCTGGGAAGATGTAACTGTCTGAAGTTGATTCAGGATGGAGGATAACAGACCAAAATTAAGGAAGGAATGAAATACACAACAAAGCTTACCTCCAAATTGCCCTGGTGGGATCCTGTGGCAGGAGCAATAAGAAAATTCCTCTTTAAGCAATAAACAGATGAACATAGGGGAAGGGAAAGAAAAATAAAATAAGATAAAAATAGAGGAAGGCAAACTATAAGAGACTCTTAACTACACAGAATAAACAGGGATGCTGGAGGGGAGGTGGGTGAGGGATGATCTAGATGAGTAATGGGCAGGCATTAAGGAGAGGACTTGATGGAATGAGCACTGGGTATAGTATATAAGTGATGAATCACTAAATTCTATACCTGAAATCAATACTACACTATATATTAACTAATTTGAATTTAAATGAAATCTTGGAAGAAAAAAATGACATTTTGAGATACACACACACACACACAAAAAAAAAAAAAAGAAAAGAAAGAAAGTCTACTATTTCAATTGTTGTTTATCAACACCTGGGAAATGATACCTAATGGAATTCAAGGAGAAAAAGACATAAGGGACATTAAGTATAGAAAGCACAAGTTTTCACTGTTTGAAGATAATGGATTGGCTGCAGGTAATGAATTGGCACCTGAAAACCTCTGAACTGAGTATGATTTTAGTAATGCAGTTGATACAAAATACATATATAAAAACCAGGAGCCATTTTAAAGTGGCATGAAAATACATTTGGTATGTTTAGCAATCATTGCTTCTATCTTGTTCCAAACGTTTTCATTACCA